GGGGAAAGCCCCATGGGCTTCTGGAGGCACTCTGGTTGCTCGTGTCGGTTGCCTCTGCACGAGCTTATAATGTTCCTGTGAGGACCGAAGCCAGGCGGTGTCCAGATCCAGGGCTTCATGGATGCCAACGGCACCATCTGGCCTCCGGGCTGTGGTCGCACCCGTGCAAGGACCCGAGGCGGTGCTGGCCAGAAGATTGCCGAGAAGGCCCTGGACACGGCCAATCAGTTGGCGAACGTGATGGCCAGCCACGTGGAGCTGCAACGGGAGCAGCTCCGGGCTTCGAGCTCCTCGAGCGGGGCCACGGCATCCCGTCGCCAGGACACTTGCTGGTGTAGGTTGGCATTTTGTCGTGTGCTGCATGGACCTGCCACAGGATGATGGCTGGTGGTCGGAGGATTACCAGTACACCTTCACGAAGAGGCAGAGAAAGTGGTGAGCACCAGGCCAGTCACAGCCAAGTTTCAGCACTGGTTTTGCAACAGCAGATGGATGCAGGAGCCCGGTCCAAAGGCTCTCCGAGGCAGGGCACAGCCAAGACTTAGTGAGGATTGCTGTGTAGTCCAGAAACACCAGAGTTTATCAATTGATAAACCCCGGTGCCCCGGAAACCCACAGAAATATCAATTGATAAACCCCGGTGCCCCGGAAACCCACAGAAATATCAATTGATAAACTCTGGGGCCAAAGAAATATCAATTGATAAACTCTGCTGTTCCGGAAACCCACAGAAATATCAATTGATAAAGTCTGTCGTTCCTGGGACACAGGAGTTTATAAATTGATAAACTTGGGCTGCTTTAGAGGTTGAACGAAAGAGGGTTGGTGTCACTCGAATCGGCTGTGTTCGTGTCTCCGGGAAACCCTGCCATGAGTCCTTCTTGCGACCTTCCACTAACAATTTCTGCAAGCTGAGACCTGGCAGGATGAAAGATTCTCGGTGGTGTCGTGGGCCGGAAGGCATGATTTGGCTGGCTGTTTCAAGTCCTCTCTGTGGATGTTGCTAGCAGGATCCGAGATCGTGCTGCGATCTCGTTAATCGGGAGGCCGGATTTTTGGGGATGTGTTGGGTCCTCTTGAGACACTGAGAATCACAAACAGTTCCTTAAACCCACCCCT